AGGTAAGTTGAAATCACGTAGTATTATTAATTTAGACATAGTTTCTATAGGGATGACAGATTCAAGATGAGTAACAAACACTGGTAGTAGAGCACGTACTTTAGACGGAGACAAATAGACACAGACAATGACCCTGTCGATTACCGGAACTTCGACAAAAATCGCCTCAACGGACGTTAGCTCATACTCAGTTCGTCTAAAACTTTTCATGTTTTTACGCACAACGATTGCCACACCACCACCATATCCGTATTCACGTCGTTTACGAAAAACATTGAAGGAACGCAGATCCGCAAATTTGTTATCGGTTATAGCCTCATTATCCCACGTCTCAGTAAGACCAGTTATATCCGCGTTTGCACAAAAGAATTTTACCTGACTACTTTTGTTCTTAACACTGTTAATGTTACAATAACGAACAACTACTGTCTTCAGATGGCGAAGGTTTTGGCTGGTCATTAACTTTAGCCTATCTTGGAAACACGAATCTTCATTGTTCACTATCACGGAACTATCGTTAATGCAGTTGTTAACATAATTATCACTGTGGATAACTTGACCTGTACATTCGGCAGTAGTTAAATTTTGCGGTGAAGCTGCATGTTTTTTACCGAACTGTTATAAAACATTCTCGATTTATACAAATTCTGGTAAACAGTACAGTATTCATGCGCGAAAGCCGCATGTGGATTTTTGGCATCGAATTTATCAGCTCTTTTACAGTTAACGCAAACGCAGTTGAACGCAGGGTCAGTTTCGGGACAGTTAACAGAAAGGTGTGGTTTTGCACAGTATCCACACACTGCGTCTTTTTCACATTTCACTGCTACGTGGTAAAATTCACAACATTTCTTACACTGTGGCACATAGAAATGGTCGCTGACAGGGCAGGAATACCAACCAAGCAATACGGATTTTTTAGCAATTAAAACATTATGCGTTTCTCCATCATCATCGATAACAACTGCATAGGTCAAAGGATTAGGGCGGGTGCTGTTTAGCTTTTTCACGATTTTAATTTCGCTATCAGCGCGTAAATTCTTCAGTTTTAAATCATTCATAAAATCATCTTCAGACATAGCAACTGGAATCCTACGAATTATCATGCGATGCTTGCGCGTTTTCGGCTTTTCGACGTTTACTCCAAGCGTTTCACTGTGTTCTTTTAATAACGCTTCACCCTTAACTGCATCGTCAGGAGTTCGAAATTCAACAATTACCGACTTACCAAAACCTGAACGGACATTTGTTACATTGGTGCCTTCGGCTCCAGCTGGGATCGTAGTCGATAAAACTTTGCAAAAATCCGTCATCTCTTTTGCTGTTTTACGGGACTGGCTGGGCACTGACAAATCTTTCAGTTTAAGGACGAGGACGTTCTTGTTGGGGACATGCTTGGAATTCGTCACTGCGCTCCTTGAGGTCATAGTGGCATACGTTGGTTTCGATGCGGCGGGCAGGACATTTTGTTGTTGAAGAGATGCAATTTCCGACAGGGCGGCTTTGTGTAGTTCTTGCAGGGAATCGGTCAACTCCAGCACAGCACGACCGTCAGTGGTCAGAGCATGATAATCATTCAATTTTTTACATGCAAGAAAATTCGCAACGAACCGATTAATTTTGGCAATTGATTGGGAAAAATCCAGGAGAGGAATTTCGCAGGTAATAATTGAACTATTACTATTCCCCCCCCCATGATGGGGAAAAGCGAAAGGTCACACCGTATTCACCAGTGAAAAGTTCAACCCGGATACGTTATTCTTCGCTAACGAGAAAGTTAGATACGCACGCGAGACGCTCAAGCGAAGAGTGAAGTGGCTAGTATAGTACGGCTTTATTTTGGAAAGGTCAATATAAATATAAAAAGCCAGAAGTGTAGACAACATTTTTTTGAGACTATGATTGTAATCGTATATGCGCTTTCGTAGTCATATTTTATAAGACGTAACGCCGTTCTAACGTTTTTAATTTCTGACGTTCTAACGTTTTTAAGGGAAGTGCCCGGTACATGGTACCAAATACATGTACATGCACGAAAACTGTTACCTTCGCGCACTCACAAACCCTTTTTTATTTCGGTTTATGGCATTTGCAGCCAGAATACTTGTACCGTATACACTGGCGTTGCGCAACATGCGGTTCGGGAGTTATGGTTGTTAGAAAACTAAAATTTAAATGTGCCCAGGTGTACCAAAAGTCTCGTTTTGGACCGATCTCCCTCAAATTTTGCATGTAAATGCACATAACCACGAAGAACGTTTTTACACCGATCCACTGTTTTAGCATGTTTTTCAAATTTTAAAATGAATTTCAAAAATTTTAAAATTCATTTTAAAATTTGAAAAAAATTATGGAAGTTTGGATCGGTGTAAAAACGATCGTCATGGTAATGTGCATTTACGTGCAATTACAATTAGACTTTTGGTACACCTGAACGCATTTACACTTTTTGGAATCTTCTTACAGCCATAACTCCCGAACCGGATGTTGTGCGCACAAACGGTTTTCACGCCAATGTATACAAATCTTCTGGCTTCAAAACGTCATAAACCGAAACAACAATGTGTTTTTGAGCGCGCGAAAGCGGAAGTTTTCGTGCATGTACACGAATTTGGTACCATGTACCGGGCCAATTCCCTTAACTTTACACGTTTTAACGTTCTGGTATTCTCCCGTTCTCATGTTCGGACGGTGTGGATTTCTGATGTTCGAACGTTCTGAAGTTTGATGTTTTAACGTTCTAATGTTCTAACGTTGCCGCGTTCTTAATTTTTTACGTACTGACAATTTGATAGTCAAACGTTCTGACGTTCTGAATGACGTTCGGACGTTTTTAATTTTTCACCTTCTGTTTACCTGACGTTCTGCCTTCGGACGTTTTGACCTCTAATATTTTTACGCTCTACAGTAGTCAATATCACCATTGTGATATCGCTATCAATGCCCTTTAATAATGAGAAAGATTCTCTGAAAGAATCTGAGTATAACGAGGTCAGATAGTCATCATGCGCTGAGCCTATAAATGGAGCGAAGACGGATGCCGGATTTCAAGCAGGACGAAGCAAGATATTTAAGCGCCCTTGCGTTAAAACGTTACTTTCTGTCTGAATAAAATTTTTGTCGTTCTTCCCTATCCGGCCCACCCTGTTTTCTTGTTCTTTTCCGAGAGCATTTGAAAAGAACGTTTTTGTTGTTATACTACTTGACGATGTGCATCTTACTGTTTTGTTGTTGCTTTGTGTTCATCCTGTTTTCTGTTTGTTGCCATGAATGTAAAGATGCAAGACCCGGCGCACAAACATCGCGCCCAACTTAATAAACCCATGGCGAAAGATCCATCTGTTTTCCTCTTGCTTCCCATAGACCGTTCTTATTCCATTGAATAACCCTGTGTACCCATAAAGCTTTTCATGCCTAAGTAGCCCTAATGCCTTTTATGTGTTTCAAAAGGAAAACATTTGAGTTTTTCGTGCTTGCAATTCTTTGTCAGCATACACTCGGCATCGTCTCGGATGCGTAAAATTTCGGCAACTTGTCATGTTTAACCGCTTGCCCAACGCATAAAGGCAATAGTTTCTGCCAACCTTGTATACATTGCCCGCACGGCATGGCCTGTTTTAATTACGTACTTACTTCTTCGCTAAGGCAGTTTCTTCAACATGTTAATCCAAATTATAGTCTTCTGTAAGAGGGATAATGCGGTAGGAAACCAATTCAGAGCTTTTTCTGTGTTCATACAAAACGGACTCACGTTTAGCAAATAATACCCTTTTTCTGCACAACATGCGGCCGTTTCCTATGGTCAAAAAATCACTTGTTTGCGTATTAAGCAATAATACGAGGTGGAAATGATTATGTCTTTCTATTTACTTTGAACCAGGTTAATATTAATAAGTATCCACTGTATCTGAAATTTCGCTGTAAAACGCGCATAAAACGAAATCAGATCTGAATTGTATCCAGACTGACAGCAAGTTCCTGGAAATTTACAAAAGGCTTCCTAAATTTTGGCAATCGTGTTTCAAAACTGAAACCCGATTGCCGGATCATTTCTTTATAAGGAAATTGATTTCATTAAAATCATCAGGAGATTCTACGGCAAATACTCCAGATCTCTATGTGTACCCCTTATTTAGTCGCAACCGCGGCACATTTATTCCGATACTGCCTACGGATGAGCCGTTTCTCCGTTGTGGACGATAAAAATCAGACTTGATGTTAAACGTTCTCCGACAAGAACGAGCAGGCGCATGGCATGCTCGAACTTACGAAAATTTATGTCGTAACGGTTAGTCGTGCACTTAGTAGACGCGTTTTATTCAGTCCGAAAGCTGTTGGTTGTTTCTGACTTTATGCTATGCCTATGACGTGTTATATTTCCGTCTCTCCAGCTCGAGATTTGCAAAGATGCTTTGAGGACTTCGAAGCCTTGCAGACAGAAACCAAGGCTGCCGCCCACCGAATACGGAACAGACGGTACCTAGCCATCTGCAAACTTTCGAAAAAATTAATTTGTTTGAATAAAACGGGTTTAAGTTAGCAAAACCAAAGCAAAACCATAATATTTCCCCTGACCTTGGTTTGAACAGAATTATATATAACAGTTGTGGTTTTTTTGGGTCTTCTCTGCATTTTCGCTTGAAGAGAATTTTCGATTGTGCTTACAATACTCGCTTTGCAGGAAGCCTGCTTTCTGAGCAGGACACGAACGTTTTGCACTTTTTTATTTATTCAAATGCCGGAATTCGGGTAATATATTTTCATCACTGACAATATTCTTGAATATAGGCTCGAACTGACTCAATCCTGACCAGATTTGTTTTTTTAATCAGAAGCTATTGCTTTGTGGAACCTTGATTATGAAAATCGCCCGCCACACAAATTTCCTCGTACTACTTCAAAGCCAAATAATTTTCTACAACTACAGGGTAAATACTAAGCAGTCAACATAATATAATGAATGTTGATAATTATAAGTGCCATTGTGAGTTACAATGCTCCCTTCCGCTGAGTTCCGTGACTCGCACCAATCCGAAACAGGCTCAGAGATTCTCATTCGTTCTTTACAATTACACTAGCATAGTATGGAAATTCGCCGGTCATTGCGTAGTATGGAAATGTGTTTAAGATGGCGTGGATGAAAAGTCCACTGCGCAGTTTGATCGTTCTTTAAACTTTCTCCTGGTTCTCGAAGACTGCCTCCAGCCAGTACGTATTCACAGAGCCCTTGCCCTCGAAACAAAAACACAACCGTAAAACACCAAAGGCCGGTATATAGCACGAAGCATCAAGGGCAATATTTAAATTGTGTCGCGCACAAAAATGACTTGCGTACAAAATGACTGCATATTTCTATAACGGTAACATTAATACCATACATGAGAAATAATTTAAATTCTTACTTTCACATTGATTGCCCCACGACTGATAAAATTCAGAGCGGGATTATGGGCAGCCAGGCCGTATGTCGTCGGGCTAACGTGGACTTTACCAGCTAATATGACAGCGGGCATGAATTACAATTGTGTTCGTTTAAAATTTTTCGTATAATATTTATATTAGCTTCAATCTAAATGTGAACTTATATACCGGTTCCAGTCGATTCCATCCGGCTGGCTGTGTTAACGGTGTCCCCAAATCTGACAACGCACCAAAAGCTCGTGAATAAGGCACTTACTACGTACAGTTTTCAGATTATAATCGATTGCATCGCTGCATGGTACTTACAGACAATATCGCGGAGATTTCGTTCCCACGATACCGGCAACTACCGGACCTAAATATAATAAAAAAAATATGTAATGTTTGCATTTTTCAAGAAACATACTCGATATAAACAACTTCCTCCATATAATCTTATTGAATGGACGAAAATACCATAATATCCGAATTATTATTATGCTGCGATATAACGCACCCTGTGGTTTGAAGGGCACTCTCCCGTGGACTGCGAAATAATAAACGCCCCTCAAAAATACTGCACCGGCATGGCTAAGAAGCACCACAAGCCAGTTATAGTGGCCAATGAAATTAAAATTTGGTCCCAGTGCTTCTTAGCTGATTAGTTTTGCTGGATATGCAGTCTGTCACTAAGGTCTGGCCAAATACGTAAGTACGTTTTCATATAAATAAAATAGTATGAAATCTAGGCAGCAGTAACAATTAAAACTAGGCAGCAACAATCTCCTTCCCCCCTGGCCGTTATAAATGTCCCTTGCTGTAATAAGCGCCCTCTATCGAAGCTCTTGAAGACAAACCCAGGGACAGCTTGCATTCAACGATAAGCTTTTCTAAGTGGGAGCACCTGAATTGATTCCAATGCGTGCGGTCAACTTAAAGTCCACAGCTTTTGTGCCAGAAAACGTCAGCGGTACTGCCAGCAGCGCAAAACTTAATTTACACAGTTCGATGGCGTGTTCGTCATGGGGAAGCGGAACACCGCTAGAAATCTACGAATAAAAAAATTCATAAAAAAGTGCTAGCATTGTTACCGGAAGGCCACCAATCGCGGCGTACCATGTAACAATCGCCAATTGTTTCCACCTTATACGCATTAAACATATAAACTAAACCGTCGAATCGTGAATGGGTGGTGTTTAGTACATCTATCAGTTCCATGGGAGTACAATGCCGCATTAGAATGGCAAATGCTGGAATATCACTGAAGAGAATGGACGTACTGCTGAAAGACTGCGCAGGGATGGGCTCTTTATTTCGAAGACGCTGAATAATCGATCTGCAAAATAACTGCATTCATCTAGAAGTTCATGCTGTTCTTTAAGAAAACGCCCTTAACAGTTACCGTGGAAGTATCTCGGCAAGAAGCGAATCGGATTTATGCATTTCATCGACCAGATCGGCCGTTTTGACTTTGACCTTTTCCTCTAGATCCTGCGCCTGTCGGTCCAACAGTGTGAGCATGTGTGAGACGACATTCTTCGGCAATTTGGGCAGTTGCCGAAAGACAGCAAGAATATTCTGGCACGTGGGGCGCAGCGATGACTCAGAGGAGATGCAACTTTCCATGACGGCATTCAGTGTGGTCAGATTATTGCTGGTGTTGACACTGGTCGCACCTTAAAAGAATAACAGTTAATTATAATACCCAAATACGTAAATAATATGCATATGAACCGCCGCGAAAAATTGAACATTACCGGTTCGAGTAATGACCATATTGCATATTTTCCCAAATTGAAAAATATCATCGTTCCTGGATCCTGTTGTTGCTTCGCCATCGTAATCGTTCGCCAATAAACGGAATAGTCGCTGGTAACCCGCTTGACCGACTCTCAATGTAAATCGACTGTTAATAAAACAGGCCTCCATAGACAGATCGCCGTGGTAACATAGCGGTGAGGCTTGTATATAGCTGATGCCCTGCAAAGTTCAATGTACATACTGTCGCTTTAACCGGGTCACCAGCTTGTTTATCTTTTAATAACACGCTAATTCACTGTTATATTCATCACTGTTCAATATCATATTATTATCTTGTTTACAGATGGTTTAAAAGCCAAACAAAGTAGTATGTTTTACTGACCTTTATTAAATCGTACATAAATGACAGCCGGATAGACATATCACTCAGAATGTTCTTCTGTGTCATAATGTGCCACAAGCTTCCTCGTTGTGAATATTCGCTTAGTAAATACCCTGGAACTCCGACTGCGTTCACCAGTGCTCCATAGAAAATGCCGACGTTTGTATTGGCTAATAACCTTTGCATCTACAATCAGTGAGAGCCATACTCATCACCAGTTTATTGTAATTTAGCGATTTACGGATTTTTGCCTCAATGAATCAGACGGTTACTAACACAGATCAGATGACTAATAAGCGAGCTATTGCGCAGCCAGGCTTTCGCGGAGATTTTACTGGATACACGCACAAAATACACCGGCTGGTGATCCAGCTGCAAGTTTCCGTCGTTGTATGACACTATTTGTTTCCCGTTTATAGACTGGTTTGCCAGTTCATACGGTAGCGAGGAGGCAGTCAGGAATATATGCGAAACAGTTAACTGGTTCACCTTTCGCCTACAAAACGACAAATTGTAGATGTGCCGTTTAAAAACTTCAAATTACTAGCTTCCACATTATATTGTTTCAACAATTACGTATAAAATCACGTCATCAGTAAAACCGGTATACTGACATATCAGCACATGAAAGTCGTACAGCAAAACCTGCGTAATTAGAACACCTACGGTTTTTTCCAAAGTGTTCAGTGTTCGTATTCGTTGAGCCTTAATAAGCACGCAAAATCTCAGATTAAAACCCACCGATACAACCATCCCGCGACCACGGCGATTACGATTATACTCAGCAGTGCGACGCCGGCAAATATCGGTCCCAAATTTACTGAACAATCTCAGAATTACCATAATGCTTGGCAGTGTTGGCAAGACGTAATAATTTACATACTCGTATGGTCCGGACAATGTTCACCATCGAAACCACAAACTGGATAGTTGGACGGAAACTGTGTTTGGTTGTGCCACACCCAGAGGCTACTGTGAACAACCTTTATGGTTTGGTTTTCTGTGTCAAACACGGCAGCCGTCTGCAGAGCGTTAAAATTCCCCGCTTTAATATCTGACGCTGTTCAATGATAATATCAGCTTGATGCACCTCCATTTGTCCGTTCGCTGTATTGAGCCGCAAGATCGGTACCCGGAAGGCGACACTTCCGTCCCGCGTCAACCTGGTTACACTAAAGGGACGATTGTACACTCGGTCTTTGAGGCGTCGGGCCAACGCTTGAGGCCGGAAGTACTCCACATTGTCCCACGATCGATTCACAATCTAATTCAACATTCATTACACCGGTAAGTGTGTTAAACGCGATTATACAGTAGTAATAGATATAACTTATTACCTCAGCGAAATTCATCAAGAGGTTGTACATGATAACCGTCGCATCGTTACGCTAGAACCAATCGGCTTTTAAATATACATACAGCTTAGGACAAAATGGTCGCATAGGCCCAAAACCCGAAACAATGCTTAAACGGCCATTCGCTGTTCAAAAGTACGCAGTGCGCAATCGGCCGTTCTCTGTTCAAAACTACTTCCGGCTGTCGACTGACCGTCGGCTCAAGCAAATTAATATAATAATAATGTTGATTTTATTAAACTTCTAACTTCCGTTTCTGCTTTGTTTTCTTTTTGTTTATTTCACTCGTTCCGTAAAATATGGCGGTAGAATGGTTCGCGGAAGATATGTTGATGCAGATTTAGTCAAAACTGTTTTTACGTTGTACGAGAAAGAAGGCAGTTCAGCCAAAGTCAGCAGATATGTCCGAAAATCGCAAAGCTGGGTGATCAGGGTGCTGCATCAATACGACAAGGAAACGGGTGAACGCAAGGTGAAACATAAGAAAGGAAGACCGAGAAAAACAACAGCCGAAGAAGACCAAGCAGCCATAAATTTTTTGAAAGAAAACCGAACACTGAGTGCAGTTAAAGCAGCAGCAACTCTTCAACTCCCGCACAAAACCCTCCTGCGAAGACTGCAAGAATACGGTGCACGGAGAAGTCAAGCAGTTGCTGATGAACTAACCTCAAAGCATAAAGAAGACCGATTCTATTGGTGCCTGTGGAAGCGGGAACAGCTCCTTGAAAATCCTGCTTTTTTCCACTCGGTGATCTTCTCGGACGAATGTACGTTCAAGTTGTCAGGGGGGCGAGTCGAGGTATGTATGAAGTGGTGTTCACACTTACGAATACGTACGTAGGGCTGACTAGCACTTCCAGGCACTGAAAGATTCCGTCCAAAGTTTTTGCTTTTTAAACAGATATGGCTCTTTCCTAAAGAAAGCAGATTCTCCGAAAACCTCCAAATCAAACAGTCACGCCAAAACAAGGGAGGAATCGCAGTGTGGGGTGCGATCTGCGCTGCAGGCCCAGTTGCGTTGGTGCGATTCCAGGGGACAATGAATTCCGAGAAGTACGAAGAGGTGTTGTTCGATCAACTCCTTCCTTACCTGGACGAAAACGGTCGCGATCTCACCTATCAGCAGGATAACGCACCGTGTCACACCTCCGCAGCCATGAAAAAGTTCTTCGAGACGGAAGACATCAACGTGATGCCGTGGCCAGCAAGATCGCCTGACTTGAATCCGATCGAAAATGTGTGGGGACAAATGAAAGACGTTATGGCGCAGAAATTCCCGAAAAATTTAAGAGAACTAGAACCTCTGATAAAAGATGCTTGGGAAGAAGTGTGCACTCCAGAATATTGCGAAAATTTGATTAGTTCCATGAAAAATCGCCTAAACGCGTGTCTTTATAATGGCGGGGCACGCAGCAAGTACTAAAATGTGATACTGTGATTTGCACCTTTTGCGGTGGTAGAGTTAGTATACGAGTCAATGGAGATTTATTTGTGCGCAGTGGTTGTTTTTCTGTCGTACTCTGTTTGGTTTTGTTATTAAATTTTGGGTGGGTATGCGACCATTTTGTCCTAAGCTGTATGTCGATTACGCCTTGTGTCTTTGATAACACAGTATTGTACAGCGTTCATAAAGCGTACGATTCTGTCTGGAGCCAGAGTTACGTTATACACATCCACAGATATGCGGGCAATGTCGTCAAATAGATCCTCCAGATCATCCCACTTATTTCCGAACGATGC